TTATTATTCTTTTGCAATTTGTAATTTGCTACCCAGCTAATTGTTAACAATGTTCCACAGCTCTTAACTGCACGCTCAACAGCTTAACCTTGTGGTCATTAGCAGGTTTGGGAGTTGTTGCAAGGCTGTGAATATATACACTGTTGTGGGTGAATTACTGTAAAAGAGTGCTGCTGTGAAACGGTACAACAAACAAAAATAAAGCTTCTTTCATGGGGGAGGGATAGATAAATAACGACTAGGGATCTCAGCTTTCTTTGTTCCTATTTTAATAGTTTACTGTTTTGTGGTTTCAGTAATTAATATGACATTCTAGAAAGCATAAATCCTGCTTAGATGTTTAAGTTAAGAGCATCCTCTTGATGGCATACATATATATATATATATATATATATATATATATATATATATATACACATATATATACACACACACACCGTTCCCAGAGCTTAACAAGCTGTTTTGATTTACCTTTGAAAGACATTTGAATGGTAAAGTAGTGTGGCCTACTCAAACCATTTTAGTGTCATTGTTAACTAGAACCTCCTTTTGAAATTTATTGCATTCAATTACATTTTTAGAAGAATTTTAATTATGTGCCTGTAAAGAATAAAGATGCTCCGGGCTCCATTTGTTTATCATAGAGGGCCTGGGAAAGGAAAAAAAAACACGAGGACAGAGCTTCCCAGCTCATGCAGGGGTTGCAGAGAGAGAGAGATGACTTTTAATTCGACAAGTTCAGAGAGATTTCTTAGTTTGACGCGCACAGCAGGGGGTCTTTGAGCGCCTGGCAATACTTCAGCATTCCAAGCTTTGAAAGTCTTTCCCTGCAGCAGAAATTGTATCAAAAGCCAATGATAATATTCCCTGCAAGGTAAAGCACCCTATTGAAGATTTCTAGAGCTGTTTATTTATTCATCACAGTTTTTTTTTTTTTAGGACATATCAGGCATATAGGTAATAATTCTTGTAGACGATATAAAAATGCAAATAAATAAATAAAAACTCTCATTAGTCTCTTGCCTTGTTATATTTCTTCACTGGTTACATGAACCTATAGACACTGCCATCCATCCCTTTCCGCCCAAAATGTGTCTCTTTACTGCAAATGTCTTTCTCTGTAATTTTAATAAAACCATCATTTCTGTCTACTCTCTACCACCTGCTGTGTGTGTAAGATGTTTATGGCCATCTCCTTCCAGCAAGCTTTCAACGTAATTAATTAATTTTACAGAAGGATATTCCATTTCTTAGGGGGTCTGTTTAAATCCCAATTTTAAAGTAAGTTTTAGATATCCGCTTTCATAGTCAAGATTAAAGCTCTCTTGTTTTGGTATTCCAAAGATAAAATGTTTTCATATTTTTGTATTACCTTCACAGGGAAAGAAAAATAACATATATATATATATATTTCTCTCCTTGTTTTTGTTCCGTTTGGTCTCCGCAGCAGAGCCGGGAGTGTGAGACTGCGACAACCATTCCCTTGTGTCATGTCATTGTCGGCTATCACAGTGGCAGAATCAGCCAGATCGCTGAAGACAAAAAGTGCCCCTCTTCCTCTTGCTCTTTCAACTGCCACTGGCATCCAAAGTGACCTTGCCTTGTAAATATTGGTGAGTGACCACAAGGGGAAAGAAGCTCCCTGCTGAAAGAGAACTTCTTTGTGGGGGGGGGGCTGTAGTGGCCTGAGGGCACTACATTGCTTAAAACTGTGTTTTCACATGGGGTAAACATTGGGGATGTGTGCAGAAAAAAATTATGCGCAGGATTTTTCTTTCTTTGTTTTAATCACTATTCCATACAACCTACATTTCTATTTTTAACTTAAAGGCACATACTAATGCTTTTTGCAGATTACATGAGCAACATGAAATCATTGCCTTGCTCGAGATTTAGGAAAGCCTCTGTCTCTCTCAAAGACGACTTATGTACTATTCCCTGAGGCTTCTGTTGATGCATCCCTCCCACTCCCTAAAAGGTAGTATAGGAAGTGTAACACAGAGATGGAACACACAGGCAGACCCATGACACTCACCCCTCCCCCAAATATTTTTTGTTGTTGTTTCTGCTGCTGCTGTTGCTGCAATTCAGAGGTTTGTGGTTTTGTCCCACATCTACAAAAACACAGAAGGAAAATAATCAGTACTCCTTTGTGTCATGTTAGAACCAAAGCTATGGGGGTAGTGAATAGCAGCCATCTGGTGTTATCTGAAGAAAGATGTATGTTCCAATAATCACTGCCTGATATTAAGGCATGCCATAATCTGTGATTATTAGCATTGCCCGGTCAATATTTCAGAACTAGTAGATGCTTTAGAGTTCTGGAGTTCTGAAATAATGGACATCTGTTACTCTTTTTGCATTGTAGTAATCTGGAATATGAGGAAAATCCTTTCTCCCTCCCCTTTTGAAAATGGGGGGATTATACTTGAAATAAGAGAGAGCAGTCAGTCCTAGGGATGGCAGCTTCCTTGTCTTATCTTCTTTAGAATCCTTGGAAATACAGAATCAGAATGGAGTTTTGGCCAATGTAAATAATGTTTCCTTGCCCAAATGAACTAGGAAAAGAAATGGGTGCATTAGTGCAACACACAGTTGAGCCTGGGGGTATTTTTAATGCTAAAATGGGTCTGAGACTTGACTAACCTGCCTCTAATAGGGAATTGAGAACTATATTCAGTAGGGCACTTCTACTACAACGAGATCAATTTTCTTTCTCCTAGCATCTTCTCAAGTCTTAGACATAAATTTTTCACTATCTACAATTCATCCTTCGGGTTTTGCATTAGCTCTGAGGAATGATTGGGAAGTTTAGAAGGATTCCTGTCTTCAAAGGATGATGTTTGACATTAAATTCAAATGCACAACCCCTTGCACACAATAATCCTTAAGAACGTCCAGATAGTTCCTCATAACTATAGAGTTATGCCCAGACCCTTCTAATCTCTGGATCCAGTAACTGTTCAAATATAAGCAAGGATTCAGTTCCTGGAATAGCCAAGCTAGTTTCCTGGTAAGGGGATAGCCGAGGTAATGAGCCATTAAGGGAACAAAGGAAGTGGATCTGTGCCATATAGAAAATAGGTGGGACCCCCTCAACTGGTTGGTAGTTAAAAAGACAAAGGCCAGAGAGGAGAGTTAGCTGATGTGAGCTAGGCAAGGCAGCAGGCTGGGAAGCCAGAGAGTCACACTGAAGCTTGATTTTGCTTGAATCTAAGGCTGTGGCTATGGAGGAAGCAAGGCCCGCTTGGGGTATTAATGCTGCAGCTCAAGTTACTAATTTGTGTAAGTAAAGCACATGTCATAAAGACTACATGTGCTCATTCTGAAGGAAACAGGGGTAACTGGACAGAACCCCTGGAACCTTGCACCACTCAGTGATTGGGGTGGCATGCAACAATAATGTTACTACAAATCCGTTCTGGAGGCCTGTCCTTATGGCAAAATGGGTTGCTGGTAGAAGCGCCATTGTGCACAGGCACATTCGGCGGCAGCCCGCTTCTGCGCATGTGCAGACAATGACGGCTGCTTCTGTGCGTGCGTGAATCACGGCAAACCAGTGTTTACTTCTGGGTTTGCCACGGTCATGACTTGGAACGGGCCTAAGTAGAGCAGGACAGAGGTGTGTGTGTGTGTGTGTGTGTGTGTGTGTGTGGAGGCATGAGGCATGTGACTTTTTGGGGAGATAAGCATTTTAACTAACCTAATTTTAGAAGGAAAGGTCCCCTTCAGTACTCTCACCAATCGTCTTTAAGCCTTGGACCTTGTTCTGTTGGGACTGCTCCAGTGGCGTAGCGTGGGTTGTCAGCACCTGGGGCAAGGCAAGTAATTTGCGCCCCCTAACCCGTGGATTTGCGCACCCTAACCCTAACCCCCAGATGTTGCGCCCGGTGCGGCCCGCCCCCCCTGCACCCCCCACGCTACGCCACTGGGCTGCTCTCTGCAGCTCCATGTTTCTTCCTTAGTGCCACGCACTAGTGCTGTACTTAGGGTCCAGGGGAATCTGCCATGAGCAGATTCTCTACACGTTCATAGGAATAACCACATAGCACCAAGTGGAAGAACTAGGAAATAGCTTCTTTTAGTCACCTCACATGGGGCCTTTAGTCCACCTTTCTTCCCTGAGAATAATTCTCTGAATGTGTTGATAGTTGCTATATATTTTGCATTTTGCGGAAAACTATAATGCCTTTCTTTTCCATTGGTCAAGAATAGGTATGGAAGGATCTGTCAAATTTGATTATCTTCATTTCTCATTTTTCCAGTCTTAAATTCAGTTCTCCACATTTCTGCTTCAGTTTGCAGGATTTTTTCTTAAAAAAAAAAAATTATCGTGAAAATTCACCAGCATTTTAGTATAGCTTTACCCTAATAAATATATATATATATGTATGCTGTTTTGACTAGTGTACACATTTTGCAAGCAGTTTCTCCTAACAGAACACACTTTTGTAAGTGTTTCCACTGACATCGTCACTTGTGTGCTCATTTTTACCTAGTATTTGCATTTTTGTAACCATTGATTAGTTGGAAAACTGTGTTACAAAATTCAGATAATTATAAATTTCAAAGAATGGCTGTGTTTCAGTTTTCATATTGTTTTGGATTTGACAAATTTGTCTTTAAATGTAAACTGAATTAGATTTCCCTTCCTTTCCTAGTCAAGAACCAAGTTCCTTTCTAGACTGATAAAAACCAGGAAGTGATCCAGAATTATTTATATACAGTTGCTCAAAACCTAATCCATTTAAAAAAATTTTTAATGTCATGTGGCTATTACTTTTCTTGATAATGTATTTTAGTGATTTGTCTTGGGACTGCAGTTTACTTTTTGTTTATTTTTTAAAGTGGGCTTGTGATAGCTTCTCTTTGAACTGAGTGTTTGTGTTAAACAACATTCTGCCAGAAATTAATGTTTTGCGTAGTGATGTCTTGTTTACCATAAGGATTCCAAAGCAAATGTGCTCTGTTGCTGCTGCTTTTCTTCCTAATCTGTATTGGAACAAGGTGGCAAGGTAAGGTACAGGGGCCTTAACCCATAACATATCAGGTTTCTTTATATATATAAAAAAAATGCTGCCAGACTATTTTTCAGAAGTTTTCAGTGAAAGTTATATATAAAAAGCTTTAAAGACATGTTTGCCACTTTGAAGTCTGTGTCTCTGAAGTACACATAGAGGCTTAATGAGGACACTTCCATGCTGCTTGGTACAAATATTGATTGACTGTACACACTTGCATTAGCTTCCAGCATCATGAGCAATCCACAGTCCTAGACAAGTGGTTTTTTTGCTATCAGTTGCGATTTCATAAAATACTTTTCCATTTTAGGGTTTTAAGGTGTCCTTGTTCCTCAGATGTGTTTTGCCTGATGTTGAAAGGAAAATGTGGTCAACAACTATATAGAACTATGCTTATTATTATTATTACTTATTCAATTTATATACTGAATAAGGTTTATGTGATTGGTTGTTGAATCGTTCTTACTGCACAATGGGAATAATGAGGGAGAGAGCAATGATAAGTCACATATTGTAATACTCATGGAACACAATTGACCAAGGTGATCCTTTACACTTGGGGCTGCTCTGCACAGTAACAAGAGGTTTAGACATACAGTAGTTTTAGCTCCATGTAAGTATCCCCAAAGAGGATACCCTAGACTTTAAGTGAGATAATGTATAAACTTATGACGAACAATATTCACTATGAGCTATCTGTAATTTTTTGACAGAGTTATTCATCGATGAAATTCATGGGTAACTTTTAATATTAGATGTATGTGACTGTTTCACAGCTGTGCTTGATAAATTGTGAAGACAACGTGGTGAATTTATCAACTAAATGAATCATTGAATTCATTCATTTATCTCCTTTGCAGAGATCCTTAGTGAGAAAATGGAGGGGGTGGAATTGTGAAGCAGCCCTCTCATAAAAATAATAAAAATAAGATTTTCTTGCTCACATGGTACTCTGATAAGTTGCTTTGTTTGATTACAAAGAATGGCCTAAAATGAGTTTTATGCAGATTTTTTTAACAATAGAACACATTGTGTTATGTGCAATTTTACTGGAAAACATTTTGAGATATAGCATTTACTAAATCAACTGACTGTGGAAGGAAGTATCAAGATTAAGAGCATATATGTGTTCTAGGGTTCATGTTTTAAAAATAGCATATATTGATAAAGGTGTTCCAAAATATAAAATATAAGATTATTCTTTTACATACTTAATAGCATTAATTATTTTTCTGGCAACAGAAAACACAGCAGTTTATGCTTCAGATCCGGCATGTGGAGCTTGGTTGTTGTTGTTTTTGTTGCCACTTATTAGTTTATTTTACTAAAACTAACCCAAAGTGACTTCCAAAGTAGTACAAATATTAAAAAACAATGTAAAACAAAAACAGTTAAAAAACTTAAAAGCACATTCGCCACTAAAAAAGACCATTCTCATGTTGCCACTCCCTCCTCCCTTAGAAGGAGCAAATTAAGAATTGTCTCAGGTGATGAATGCATGGTCTGGGTTGGTTCATGTAAGGAAAAGCAATCCTTGAGATATTGGGATCCTGAGGCACATCAGGCTTTATAAATAAAAGCCAGCGCTTTGATTTGAGTCTGAAAACTGACTAGTAGCCAGTGCAATCAGACCAGAATTGGTTTTATATACACAGACCATCTGGTCCTGGTCAGCAATCTGGCCGCTGAATTATTCATGTTATTGTGTGCCAGGGAAATGCCCTCTGAAGATATAGTGGTGTTAATGGATCTATCAATATGTGAATAATTTTCTTCTTGTAGCATATGACTTCACACCTGTAGGAACTATGACCAGCCTAAGGTTATAACAAATGGTGGTGCAGTAAATTGTGCATGAATTGTTTCAGAGAAAGCGGGGTGTCAGTTCATATATTATGTAGATAACTCCGACAACAAAACATTGATACTTCATTGCACACAGTGCTACAGGGCCTGATTTTACAAGGATTTTTAAAATTGTCATTGTTGTTTAAAGAAACGTTTCCTATTCAGCCTTCTTACTGAGGTATCCGGTGAAGAGTTCACCACAGATAAAGTCGCACAGCATCAAAATGCACTTTTTTTGCAAAATTTAGCAAAATTTGTGTGCTGTCTGGCCCTGAGCCATAATAGCTGCCTCCATTTTGTGGCTCCATTTACACATTTACAGGTTGTGAAATGGGGAGGGGAGGTTCACTGATTATGGAGGTAGGCAACAACCTTTCTACTGTGGTGCACTGCTGTCATTTTTTCCCCAGAATGCCCTGCTGAGCAAAGCTATATCGTCATGTCAGGTAAAAAGGTAAAGGTAAAGGACCCCTGGATGGTTAAGTCCAGTCAAAGGCGACTATAGGGTGCAGTGCTCATCTCGCTTCAGGCCAAGGGAGCCAGCATTTGTCCGCAGACAGCTTTTCAGGTCATGTGGCCAGCATGACTAAATCGCTTCTAGGGCAACGGAACACTGTGACAGAAGCAAGAGTGTACAGAAACACCGTTTACCTTCCCACTGTCGTGGTACCTATTTATCTACTTGCACTGGTATGCTTTTGAACTGCTAGGTTGGCAGAAGCTGGGACAGAGCAATGGGAACTCACCCCATTGTGCGGATTCAAACTGTCAACTTTCTGATTGGCAAGCCCAAGAGGCTCAGTGTTTAGACCACAGCACCACCCGCATCCCCCATCATCATGTAGCATCATTGCAGAGAGTATTCTAGGAAGAGAAGTGGTTGCATTAGCAGTCAGTAGGAGCACTGCTTCAATCATTGCCACCATCATACAACATGGGAAATGCAATGCAGTGAATAGTTCCACCCTCCTTTCACCTCTGACCCAGCACCAAAATTTGGCCATTTGTTTTTCTCCAGCACTGATTTCTTCATGCAAATAGTCACATGCACTTATTTATGTATGTGTTTTATCTCAGGTTTCTGTGATTATTATAATAAATTACATTTTCTATTGAGTGTCTAGATTTCTTTCATTGACCTGGTATAATGCCTGAGCATTGCAGGAACTATGAAGAAATCAGTTTAGGATTTTAAGGCGTGAGAAGGCAGAGTAGAACAGAGAAATGTCTCTTCCATTTATTTCATCTCTCCATCTCAGCCATGTCACCATAACCTGACTTTCCTGAAGATCCCTGGTCCAGCCTCACTTCAGCTACTCTATGAAACAAAAACCAAACGAGATGGAAAATGCTACTTATTTATATTTTCTTCAATCTGGGTATAAACAGGGCTTTCATCCACCACCTCCTCCAAAAAATGTGCATCTACAGTGTAGTAGAGCCTCTTCATTTGAAAGTAGATACAATGCATTCCACAGAAGCAGAGAATGGGCACGTATTCCCAATGACAACTAACCATGGAAATCGCCATGCATTGAATTCCTTCAAATTGACTAGATGGACATGACTGCCTCTGATCCACATCTGCAAAAGTCAGTTCATTTTTTGGTGCAGGAAAGTGTTTTATCAGAATCCATTTTATGTAATTGATTGAAAACTCTGCATTCCTAATCTGAACAGGCATAACCTTGGAGGAAAAGAGAAGGCAATGTTGGACCCTTGGCCTTTCATACCTATATTTTTGTTTAAAGAAAAAACTGTCTGAGAAGTAAAAGAAATGTTTATGGTCTTAGTACAGGACTATTAAGTTGGCAGCTTGTTGCATCCAAAATGTCAAATTTAAAAGCTGAACACTGAGCAAATAAATTCACCATTCAATAGGTCTCCAGTGAGGACCTTAACACACACAATCATTTCTCTGAAAACTATATAGGGGTCTCTTTTACTGCCTGGTTTTAAGTGCTCACTTTTAAAGTAGAAATTAGCTGTTAGTATCCTGGGACATATTTATTTTTGATATCATATTAAACAAAATGCAAATATAGAAGGCTCTTGCAAATGATGTTTTTTCATGACACCAAGTTATCTCTGAATATTTTTGTTGAGCTTTATTTCCGCTGTTGGATGTGTAATCTTTGCTAAATGTTTTGAAGGGAAGGAATCAAATAAATTGCCCTATTTTGGTCTTTCTCATCTGTATACAGTTGTGCAGCTCTAGTAGACCTGAAAATTGCCCAGAGACAAACTTTTTTAAAAATAGAGTGCTTTTGAGGCAGAAAATTGCTTTTCTGCAGTATCTTCTAACAGATAGGATGTGACAAGAGGACAAGTAGTTACCACCATAGAGTTGTAAAGTCTTTAAAAACAAAGCAGATCAAGGAGTTTTATTTTCCATCTCAGTTGACTACAAAAGGTTTGCAATACTAAAAATCTGCCTTAACATTAACAGAAGCTACACAGTTTAGAAATAAGCCTTGCAAGCCTGCCTAACCCACCTGTGGCAGCTAGATGCTATAAGGGACATTCAGCATGATGCATAAGATCACAGAGTGTTTGTCAGCATCTTCAGAAGTTCCAAGCACAGTAGGAAGTGTTGTGGCAGGGTGGCGGCAGTGAAAGATTTCTTCATTCTCGTCTCCTTAGTTTTATGTTCGTCATGTCCTTCAGTTGTTTGAAATCTCTTGTGGAGTAATAAATAAAAGTGACTTATCCTTTTTGATCAGCCTCTTGATGCTATATGGAAGTATTTGTGTGTGTGCTTAACTTCTTGTTAAGGCAATTTGCAAATGCAAAATAAAACAGGGAGGTAGATGGAATAAGGCTGAAGGAAGGGGGAGAGGCTGTACCATCTACATGCTAAGAGACATAAAGAAACTTTGAACCTATTATCATGTTAATGGGCCAGTTGAGGATTGTCAGGGTTTGAGGTATTAATCTTAATACACATTCACATTCTTTAATTGCTCCTTTGGTGCTGTAATGGCATAGGCTGTGAATCTGTGCAATATTAACAGTATTATGTGCTTCTATAGTTTGAAGCCATAATACCACATGGGTATTACAAACTATATAAAAAGTGTCATATGCTTCTGTTTTCAAAGATTTAATGTTATTATTATTGTTTTAAATGGAAAATGATCAAGTCTCTACAATTAAAATGGGGATTGTCCAGACCATGCCATCTGGGAAATCAATGTTCTACCTTTATCTGCTTGCAAATGGAGGAGGTGGAGATAATAAGTCTCTCAGGATTCACAAAGAAACCTGGTGGAAAGTGTTCAGCTTGGGAATTTCACCATGTAGTTTTCTCTGTTCTTGCTGCTTTCGGCTTCATTCTTGTCTTTATTAGAACTTGGCTGTCTGGCCTTTTGCATCTTCATAGCGTCCGTCAGGAATTTTCAGCATGGGCAAGTACTGGTCTTTTTCTATCACAGTGTCAGGTGATGACAAAAGTTTGGCCAAGCTTTTGATACTGTATGTGTAAAGCCACTGATGCACTAGGGCTCTTGGGACATATCTATGAACTCTCTTCAAATGTACAGTGAAACCTCTAACCCAGCAATGTAATCCGTACTATTTGCCAGGAGTCTGCACAACTGACATCCCCTAATGTTAAACAGGCATTCAGTGACAGCAGGATTCAGGAAGAAATCTTCTCAGTCCCTCAACAAAATAAGTATATACAGAAAACCTAGGTGACCTTGCAAACCATTCCAGGTATAGGACTTTGTGGGGGAAGTCGTCACGGCGTATCTTATAAAAAAGGAAATTAGAATGTTTTAATAGTTAGCCACCCACCAAATTTTGGGAAGAGAAGGATAATTTTCCTGATAATCAACCAATCAACTGTACAGTATTGAGCCTAATCCTTGGTAAAGGTGGTGAGATCTGATGCAATTTTTTTCAAGTAAAATTGTGGTGCCATTTGTTTGTGGAATCATCCTGTGGCAACGCAAATATTAAAGAAGCTTACTATTCTTAAAATGCTTGTGACAATGTCGGCTTAGTTTTAAGAATGTTTGATTAAATAACAATTTTAAGTTCCCTACAGGTTGTAAGAGTCAGAATGAGATGTTATTGTTAAAAAAAAAAAGAAATCCACTAGTCTTTCAGCTGTATCTCTTGCCCATTCTGACTATTTCTTTGAGGAAATCTCATTTTGTTGCTGCACACCATGAAAGCTCTTAATGCTCTCCTCCAAAATAGTGAGTACTTTATAGTAAAGAGTGTTAGCCAATGTAATTACAGGCCTTAGATATTTCTCTCTGATAATATAATTCACTGTCTGCAGGAATACATGTATTTACCTTGTGCTAACTCGTACACTAATACATGATTTGAACATTACTACCTAGGCATTCTTTTTTGTTATGAGTTTCACGTGAAACCAATGAATGCACTGCTCTGTTAAAAAGACTGTACAATTGCTGGAAAATGACATACAGCAGGAGGTCCTCCTTGTCATTACACATGGAAACTCTTGAGCTGCAGCTATCCTTCACCTGCCACTGTGTCTCCCAAATGGATTTTGTCGTCTCAGATTGCTCACTCTTTTCCTGCCTTTGCCTTGCAATGCATCTTTGTAAAGTAGAGGCTGCATTGCTTGAATGCTGACCATTCAAATTCACAGTGGGTCCTTCCGTGTCAATTTACTGCTATGTGATTAACTCTCCAGTTATTATCTGACCTTTTGATTATCTGAACATTTTAAATCTGTCCCTCATATTTGCAGGTTAATGTGTTTGCACTGAACAGCTTTCCAACAGCAAACAGTAGCACAAAGAACATGGCCCACCATCATCTGAAGTGGCTCAAAGGTGGCTTGATAAAGCAGTTTTGCAGTCACAGATAGGCAGCAAAAACAGGATATAGCACAGGTTCCTAGTAAGCCACCTTATAAGGTGGATAGAGTTAATGTAGCTTTCTGGTTCACAAGATGGATAGACCTGACCTAACTGTACAGTGGTACCTCCTGTTACGAACTTAATCCATTCCGGAGGTCTGTTCTTATCCTGAAACCATTCTTAACATGAGGCGTGCTTTCGCTAATGGAGCCTCCTGCTGCGTGAGCGCCTCTGGCACGCGACTTCCACTCGCATCCCGGGGCAAAGTTTGCTTCCAGGAGCACCTACTTCTGGGTTAGCAGAGCTCGTTACCAGAAGCGTTTGCAAGGAGGACGATACGTAACCTGAGGTATTACTGTATTGATTTATGAGCTGCTTTATTGGTGTTAGGAACTGTACATTTTTGGTTTTAATCTTTTTGCTGTTTTATTAGTTGTAACGATATCGTTTTGTTTTTTTTACTACATATTGCAAAATTTCCTTTGATGTATAAATTAAATTAATAACTAATTAACCAACTGCTCAGGTTCCTTTCCTGCTTTTGACTTGTCCAAAGCCACCAGTGAATGAAACTTACTGTTTAGTAATTCTGTCTCAATCTGAAGCTACACTATTTTCCTTGCAGATTTGTATTCATCTGCAATAGTGTGAAAGTATTTTCAGATTTGATTTTTAAAGTGCAACCCTCTGCTGGCATTAACATCATGGATCTCTTACGTTGTTCTAGTGTCTCCATCAGTATTTGCAGAAATGCTAGAGGCCGCTGATAAACATCAGAATAGGTTAAAATTAGGCCAAGCACCATAAATCTAAAAATAAAATAAAATACTTATCTGCTGCATTTTTGACAGCAGCTGTGGCTGCACATTGCAGATGAATAACTTTGTGGTAGAGAACCTAAGCCTTCAGCAGCTTAAGCAAGGATGGAGAGGGCTGTGCAGGGGTCAGAATTATGAATGTCTGGCTTTGAGAAGCTTTTCAGTTGGCAAACACAATGTGCAACAGTTCATGACTAAGGCAGCTTCCTGTCACTTTCTTTGAACAATTGCATCCTTTCCTTGCTTCTTGTTCACCTTCATCTTTTTCTTAAAGTATCCTTTTCACCTGTAGTGTATTTTTTCCCCTTAAAATGAGGATATATACTCCACCTGACTTTTACAGAAGTGTTGAAGGGTAATACTTAATACCTTATGGGCCACCTTTTTTTTGAAAAGGCTAATCCATCTTTCTCTGCTGAAAGATAAAAGTTAGAGCATTTCTCAGGTCCATGCAAGGGACTGAACACAATGAGACCGTATTCTTTGAACATAAACTCCAGTCCTATAAACACGTTACATGGAAGAAGACTGAGGACCAGGGTCACAGTCTAGTAAATTAGTTGTTACAGATTGGAATCCTGAGTTTTTATGCGGAGCAGTTAGAGAATAGGGAAATAGTAACACAGAACTATTTGTCTTGTTTGCCCTTGTACTTGATATTTACTGGTATTTGACTGGAAGTTCTCACTATTCACTTATACAAATGGCCGTTCTTATTAACAAACTGTACATTGTTTCACTGGTGTATTAAACACATTTTACACTTTATTTCCAGCATTTTGCTGCTAGGTGCTATGAGAAATATAAAAACAAGCTACTAATGGGCTCTCTCGGATTAGGCCTCAGAGTGTGCTATTTGGCCACTATAGTAGAGATGTTGTTTTGAGAACATAACAATCCCAGTATGAATTATTAGAACTTGGACCCATGTGGATGAAACTGCACAATCATGCCGTCCACAGATGATCAGTGAAAACATTCTGAAATGTTTGTTGGCCATAAATTGCACAAGCCTATGAGGAACATATTTAGAAGGAAGGGAAAATATGGTAAAGAAAACGTTTAGAAGATATCAAATGCAAATTTGGGAGATGCACAGAATTAATCTAGATATTTAAGTGTGATGTTAGGCTTGGGGAATTCTATATTCCACCGGCAGCATCAAGGATCAAGGAAGAAGCAAGAAAGTTTATATTTATGGTTTTATCAGTTCTCGTGGTGCAAGAAAAAGAATTCAGTCCTTAACTCTATAGTTGCTCACTCTGAGCTCCTCCCCTTCCTTCCCCAGCGACAGCCTGTGTCCCTACGGGTGACCTCAGGAGTCAAACATCTTTGAGCCCTTTGCTCTTGAATTCTAAGTGAGCGGCAAGTACGTGGGGATGGTGGCTCTCCTATGCTTTCCAAGGGCATCTCTGCTGGAAAATTCTCCCCCTCCTTCTCCTAACAGCTCATAACTTGGCAGCTCTGAACTCTGCTGCAATTCAATCCTGTCTTCTCCTTCTCTTGAAACAACTGGGGAAGGGGAGGTTACCCACCCACTCCCCCTCCTCTGAGGTAAGCAAAGGCGGGGGGGCGATCCCCAGCCTTCCGCTTCAGTCCAGTCCCTGACACATGTAAATGTAAACAGCTCCCAGATCTACCAGAGGGGTGAGACAGAGTGCTTTTATTAAATAAATAAATGTTCTCTGTGTTGTGTCTTCTGGTGACCATGCACAGAAAAATGGACACCACATTGCTCTGAAAATGTATTTATTTATTATTTATTAGATTTCTACTCAGGACATCCATCCAAAAGACCCAAAGACCAATTATTATTGTTATTGTTTATTAAATTTGTATACCACCCTTCACCTGTAGATCTCAGGGCAGTTTACAACAAGATAAATACAAGATAAAACCATAAAATACATAATAAAATCAAGAATAAAGCACCCACAAACCAATACCACCCCCTTACTCCCACCCCAGAGATGGGAAAGTGCTTTTATATACTCCTGCGCAGAAGACATAGCACTGGTCTTTGTTAGAGGTAGCAAGCCATATTGTGTTAAGGAGAGCATCAATAAGTATACCCCTTCGCATATTTTCCCACTAATGAATTAAATGCAGAATACTTATTGAGTTTTAATTTAACTGAAGCTGCAGTTTTATACTTACTTACCTGTGAGTAAGCCCAATTGAACTCAGTGGTACTTTCCCTAGTTTATGTAGCTTACAGAAGTAGATTTGTATAGGATTGTCCTGTAAATCAGTCTCCTCCCCCCCAAAAGGAAAAATACAGTTTCATCCAAGCATATTTTAAATGATGATAAAGCAAAGTTAAATCTTTTCTCAGTCAAGTCTCCTGATGTAATACAAACATGAGTATTAACTAAATACCAAAATAAACCTAATTGAAATTAGGTTCAATATACTTAGGCTTAATATACTCAGCAGACAGATTATAGAGGTAAGACTGATTCATCAAGCAGACAGGTAATTTTGATTATAGGGCTTTTGGAAGGTCCAGAAAAGGTTATTTAGGTACAGAATGTGGTATAGGAATCCTTTGTGGATACATCAGCTACGGAAGTTATTACATTTTAGAAGTGTGGTGCACAAGAGGAGGAATCAATGGTACAACTCTCAAAAGAGATCATGTTTTGAATTAGTTATTTAAGAAACAGTACAATCTATATCTACTTATTTGCAGCACTACACTTCTTGTGTGGATGATAGTACCTTTTTGCACATATCCCGCTTGTCATATGCAGCGGAGAATGGGATACATTTCATCCAATGATGCTCACACACCATAAAATTAACTACAATTGTGTTGGCAACATTCCAGATTTGCTTCGCTACATCTATAGACACTATCAATTTATCCTTATGGCTAAATATGAGATAGGTAGCATAGGGTCTACTGTGTCTGCTAGGTGATTTTGCAGTAATCTTCCACACAGAAATATTTTGCAGTAAGAAATAGTGAACAAGGACTGCCAGCTATGCCCAACTTCAAATTTAGTGGGATCCTTGCCAACTTGCCCTTACATTCCAGGGGTCATTTTTCTACTACATTATCACACTCTCTGACAGTTGCTCTTTATCGTTATCTCATCCATATTGCCTGTTCAGAGAGCTGATAAGCAGGAAATAGTGGTAGATCCTTCTATTTGCCATTATTTGCCTCTGCTCACACTTTCACCCAGCGGTCCTGTGGGAAAACAAATGGTCAGTTACTAATAGTGTTGAGTAGCCTTAGCGGTGAGTCAGGGATTATCAGTTTTCCATTTCAAGGTGGTAGGGTCTCTGCAGCTTCCCAAGAATTCTGGTTCTTCACACCAGCAGAGCTGCTGGCCTCCTTTTAAAATAATGGTCTTAAACAAAACTACAATGTGCTAGCCAAAAAAATGCAAAATGAACCTCTTGTGGGGTGCT